CTTTAATCCAGGGAATAAGATTATGGAACAGCATAGAAGATGAGATTAAAAATGACAGATCTTTGTATATATTGAAGAGAATGATAAATACTAGTATTCTGAAGAAATGTGGAGAGTTGGTGTCAACTTTTGTTTTTAATTCATTTTTAAGTGTTTTAAGTTGTTTTGATTTTTGTTGTATTTTATGTTTCTTTTGAACATATTTTGGGAATAAAAAGGGGGCAGATATTATAAGATTTATTCTTTTTCTGCTGCCATTCATTTTATTTGATTTTATGTTGATTGCATGTTTTTTTGTACTTTTTAATTTGTGTTACAAATGAAATTAATAAAGTGAAAGTGAAACAAGTGAAATATTTAGAAAAAATGTAAAAGCTGAAAAACCCAAATGTTAAAGCACACTATACCTGATATAATGGAATGTTTTCATATCTGACTAGCTGATATGGCATGAAGTATGAGGAAGTAGTTTGATTGTAATCATCAAGAGGGAATAAACAGGACAAGAATGTTTGTGTTTGATGTGCTTTTACCTGCATGATGTTCATGTTGACCCGTCCCTTGTTAGCTGTGTCCAGAGCCTGGAACGTTCCTGCATATAAGACAGAACACCAGTCAGCAAACCAACTGAAGGTTTTTGTTGAAAACCTGGTGAAGGATTTATTTTAATGTTGCTGTTTGAACGCACGGAACATGTTCTCCAGCCGGACGATGCAGGTGAGGTAGTCATCAAAGTCGATGTTGTAATCGTCATCAGCAAACCTCAAACCGATCAGCTGCAGGAGCTTGTTGTTTAACTGCATCCCTTCATGGAAACAAAGCACAAAGTTGCTTAAACCCAAATGTATGGAAGCCCAATTCCGCCACTCAAAATAAATAATTTGTCTAATGATATGTCATAATTATGAGGTCCAAAGTCGAAATTGTGACTTTGTATCTCAAAATTATGACTTTAAAAGTCAATATTATGATAATTATGACTTTGAAAGTCAAAATCATGACTTTGTATCTCATAATTATGACTTTGAAAGTCAAAATTATGAATTTGAATCTCATAATTATGACATGTCATTAGGCAAATTATTTATTTTGAGTGGCGGAATTGGGCTTCCATACAAACATCTGGGTTTGGCAGAAAAACATCAACTTTTGGATTTATTTTTTACAAAGTACTTCAACATGAAGAACACAGTAATGTAGGCTGTGGCTGAATCCAGACAGAAAAAAACAGAAATTGTAAATGGCTTGAACTTGTATAGTGTTTTAGTCCTGTCAGACTCCAAAGCATCATTCACCAGCTCCACCCTGACAGAGAGATGTTGTCAAACTGAATATTGCCATCAAGCAGAAACCTTATAAAAACTCATCTTTGTTATTTTTTCCCTAATAATTTTCATACAGTGTCTCTGTAAAAATCACATCTTTTGGTAATCCTTTTCTTTCAGCTGTGGTTTTATGAACATTCAACAAAAATATCAATTTACTCAGTACATCCAAAAGGCCTAGGATTCCTTAATGCACTGAAAAAAACAACTTGTGAGATGTACTTGAAAAAAATCCTCTAACAAATTTGCACTAACGTTTGTTAAGTAAATTTAAATGCTACAAATTCATGTAATAGTTATTCATCATTATCTAGTAAAAGTTAAGAATATAGTTAAAGATTTGTGAATAAATCAGGTAAATATTACTTAATTTGCTCAATTAAATCTTGTAACATTTACTTGATAAAATTAAGTAAGATTTACCTGATTTATTCACAAATCTTTAACTATATTCTTAACTTTTACTAGATAATGATAAGTAAACATTACATGAATTTGTAGCATTTAAATTTACTTAACCAACATTAGCGCAAATTCTTACGAGGATTTTTCTAGTAAATCTTACAAGTTCTTTATAACAGTGCACATGCATCAAGCACAATACTGAAGCATGACACCTCACAGCTACAGAGAGAGGTGTAGCTC